TTTGCGCCGTAAGAGACCTCCTGTTTAACATGGTTAATGATAATAGCTTACACCAACAGATACTAGAATTGGCACATCTTATCTGTTATAACTCTTTTTTCCAATTCAACGGGATCACGTACGGCCAAGGAAGAGGCGTCCCCATGGGTAGCCCCATCGCAGGGGACCTATGCGAAATAGTGGTCAGACAATTAGAAGATATAGTCATCCCTCAATACTCACCTAACATCTTACTATATAAACGATACGTGGATGATATTCTCATCTTATGGAGGATTGAGCCGGATGTTTCAAGGTTCGTTGATTCGTTCAATGATAATCCATACGGCCTGACCTTAGAGATCGATCAAGCTCACGCTTCTGAAGCCCATTTTCTCGACATCAACATCAAGTTCGAACAAACAACTACCCGTACAGAAGTGTACCGGAAACCAGGGGCTGAGCATCTATACATTCCAATAGGATCGTGCGATCCACCGAACTATAAAATGGCAGCCTTCAACGCCTTAATTAGGAGAGCATACTCGCATTCATCGGATCGGATATCCCTACATGCCGAACTAAGACATATTGAACAAATAGCCAACGAACATGGTTATCCCAAGATCGTACGTAAATTGATCCGCAAATGGCGCTGCCGAGAAGTAGCCCTTAACCAAGCACCCAAGGAAGTTCCATCTAACATCATCCCGGTTACATACAATCCGTACCTGAAATCAATTTACAACACAATAGCGAAGAAAAAGAATATTCGCATCGCGTATAGAAGATGCGCCACAATTTTTGACATTTTACGGAACGGGAAAGATACCCCAAACAAAGAACGACGCCCAGGGGTATATACCATCCCAATGATTGATCATAGATGGAACAGAAGCCTGATATACGTAGGATCCACTAAGCGCTCCTTAGAGGTGAGAATTAAAGAACACATGGCGGATATTCTACATGCAAGGCAAAACACCGCTCTTGCCGTCTATGCCTCGGATACGGAAATAGAACCGTTATTCAGCCAGGCCAAGGTAATCCGCACTACAAAGTACACACACCACCTTAGATGGCTAGAGGCCCTGTACATATGTATGGCTACGCTTAAAGACGACAATTGCATTAACAACAAAGACGAGATCATCCTGTCAACTGCATGGCAGGTGCTCGTAGACAAAAAGTTACGTTAATTTAGAACCAGCGAAGGGGCGCATGCGTCAATGACGCCAGCGATACGTACGAGAAAATTCGTAATGATGTTCTTTTTTCAATCAAATTTGAATGGCGTTCGATTGGACATGTTACCTGAGGAAGAACTTCAAGTTCGAAAGCGCTAGTAATACTTCGTTTACAGAGAAGCACACCGGAAACAGGTTCATTGTACGTTGTTTTTTGATTATTCTATCCCGGTGTAGTGCAGTGCCGATTTAATTTTTTAGTTTTATTTATTTACAACCTTTCCATATTGTCTACAATGACCAGAAGATTTAAGGAATGCCATCATTGCTAAACAAAGTCGTGGCATGTCTGAGAGAGCTATTAGAAAAGAACTAATGCTAAACAAGACAACAGTGCACCAGATTATTGTTTAGTACAATAAACACAGCCAGGTTATACCTAACAAAGCTGTTGCACATCAGGAGAAACTTCAAAAGTTGATGATAGGAGTTTTAAAAGAATCGTAAAAAACAACTGCCATGTCACAGATATTGAATGTAACTATAATATGGAATGATACAACTGATGATAATATGGAATGATACAACTGGAAAGAATGTATCTGTTTCAACAACACGCAGGAGATTGCAAGAAATGCATTTCCAGTTCTATGCAGCAAGTGAAAAACCTTTGCTAACAGCACATCAAAAAAAGAAATGGATAGTCAAATAACATCTTTCCTGGTCTCAACAAAAGTGGCATGAAATTCTGTGATCTGATAAATCAAACTTTGAACTATCAGCAACAGACAAAAGCAAACGTGTCATTCGATCTACCAGTCAAGCTAATGAGCCATCGTTGTTATCAGTGGCGTGCCGTCATTAGAAGCGTTGGAAGCGCCGCTTCCCTCGTATTCTCTAAAAAATAAATAAATATTAATTTTAATTATATGAAAATAATCGCACAATATTTTATTATAACCGCATTATGTATCTTATTACAAATTTCTATACTACACGTGGAAAAAAACAAAACAAAAAATTGCTATTGTATATTAGAATATTAGTGACGGAGTGTAATCTCCTGTATTTTCAGATTACGAAAAGCCAGATTTGCGCATGCGCTTTACAGAGCACCAACCTCACCCG